ACATAAAAAAATCTAGTATCCCTATTGATCCAAGTTTAAAACTTATGAAGAATGATGGAAGGACAATTTCTTAATTGGAGTACGCAAGTATCATAGGGAGTCTAATGTGTGTAGTTCAATGCACAAGACGAGACATAGCATTTGAAATTAGTAAACTTAGTAGGTTTACTAGTAATCCGAGCAATGATCATTTGAAGGCAATTTGTAGAGTTCTTGGCTATTTAAAGAAAACCAAGAACTTGTGTCATTAATATACTAAATTCTTAGCTATATTAAAAGGATTCAAAGATGCTAGTTGGATATTTAGCATGGGTGAAAGTAAATCTACTTCAAGTTGAATATCTATCATGGGTGAAACTTTAAAATAAAGATCCACTAGTGATAGCAATACTATCTGCCATTGTTTAACAAGTAATTCATGGATTCAAATAATAATAACAAATCATTTAATATGTGGGTAGTCTTAGCATTATAAAATCCACGATAATCCTATTCTAATTAAATAATGTTGGTTGTTACTGAAATGAGGGTTGAGCTTTAAGCTCTCAATGAACTTCAATACTAAGTAGAAGTATCTCTAAAAGTAACAAAGATAATGGAAGAACTTCACCTAGATGAATTTCGAGATGGTGTCGCCTCAATAAAGAGTTAGAATTTCCCTCTTAAAAGTTTGTCAAAAAAGGATGAACACAAGGCCTTATTAACACTAAGCAAGTTTGAGGAACTTGAGATCGCGTGATACTTATGTATGTGTTCTAATCACTATTGTCACATGTAATAACTAGTTTAAAGCTTCAACGCTATATTTGATTCTGATTTTACTTTATTTGAATTATACTATGGTCAGATTCAAATAGAAATATATCTAACCTTATGCATGGGTATTGTACATTTTGAATATGAAATTTTATTAAATGTTGAACAAATTGGGGATTGTCGTATATTAATGTTGTTCAAAAATCAATCAAACGAGTGTGAAATAGAAAACCAAAATTGAAGGCCAATAAATGGCCTATGCAACCACATAGGCCAAATAGGCTTGTGGTCGCATGTCAAACTGCAGCGCCATATGATCTATGCTACCGCATATGTTTGTTTTATGCAACCGCATAGAACAAAATTATAGCCGTTAATAGCCATTTTTATTTGAATTCTAGTGGCTTTTCATTTTGATTTTGGCACCAATTCATAAAGACTCATTGAGGCCTATACATATATGGTTGGTGTTCATTAGAATACACAAGAAATATCAATATTGTGATCACAATTTTGTTCCACAAAAGAGCAAAAGATTTCTCTTTATCATATTTACACCAAGTGCTTAAGTGTTAAATCCTTGATAAGGCTTGATTTATCATGTAAACCATTTGTCAAAACCCAACAAGCACTAAATTCAATTTGAGAGAGAACAAATATCATTTGAGAACAACGATTACGTGATCGAGCCTTCTTCATCTTCATTTTTTCTCATTATTGTTCTTGCTTTCTTGGTTTTATTCTTTGTTTCTTCTCCATTCCTCTTTGTAAAAGGCACTATTTTCAACACAATTGGCCACTTATTTCCTTTAACGATGCCATAAAATGGTATAGAGTTGTTCATTAGGCTATTTCCTATGCCTATTCAAAAGGTTTCCACTAAATGGATTCAATAGTTTGCCGTTTGGTTAACTGATCTTTGATGGGCTCATTGGTCAGAAAGTAGAAGAATAAGTGGATGACATAGTAGTGAAATGTAAAAGAAATATGGGGGTTGTGCGAAAACATGAGTTGAAGCATAAACCTAAAAAGTGTGTATCTAGATCATCTAGAAGGATATTACTCGATTTTTTTTAAGACTTGGGGTTCTATCTTACAATATTATATTGGAGAATTATTAATTTATCGTGTGGGCCTATATATTCAATTAATTGTGTATAAAATGCTATTTTAAAATTAAGCCTAAATTATAGTAATCAAATAAAGAATTAAGTAATTAAGCTTATGACATCTAAATAAAATGTGGACTGAATTATGTGTAGAGATCAGATTCTTTTAGAGTTGTATTTTATGATGGACAAAATACATATGAAAACTATATATAAGGCTATGATTCCCAATTCAATTCCCTGGAAAATGGCAAGTTTTCGTCATCGTCATCCAGATCACAAGATCTCTAGGGCTCATCTGAATCATTGCTCTCATCAGCCTCATATCTGGGTGGAGGATGAAAATGACTTGCTTGGTTCCTAGCCTCCTCTTCCCTCCTTTGGCGCCTATTTCTAAGCGGAGCAGTACGGGGGGCATTTCCCTGCCTTTCCTCCGACTGCTGAGTTGTAGGAGGTGGGGGCTATAGGCTCGTCCGAGGCTCACATGTCTGTTGTTATCTATGCTCCGGTCGGCTGGACTGAATCTGTCAAATACACTGCTGGACCTCGTAGGCCTACGTTCTAGCTCGTATTCTGGTGAGAAGTTATCCTCCATATTGTATGGGACCTCGGTGGGTTGACCAGAAACATAATTGGAAGAAATATCAACTCCCACATTTCTTTCAATGGGGCTAGCTCCCCTGCCATGCCTAGAAGACGTGGCTCACTAGCTTCGAACCTCGTCTTCCTAGTGGTGTTGCTCTTAAGGCATTTAGGATGGTATAGGATAACCTCTCTGGCCCTGCATTTGCATCAAAAGCTCTTGCATAGCCATATTTTGATTTGTGATACTTTTCATATTTGCTGTCATAGTGGCTATCTCCCTAGTGAGTTGGGCAGTCATTCGCATTTCACATCTTCTACAGTGGTGGTGAGGCCGACGACGACCAGTCGAGGCAGTTGTTGGTGAGACTGCACCAACATTTTCTCTCACCCTCCTGGGAAGTACATCTTCATCAAAACTCATTTTTCTATGTTTCAACCTCAAGTTTTTCCAACTTACGGGGCTTCCTCTTGTTCCTTTTCAAGAACAAATCCTTTTCAAGGGGGATGCCCAAGTGTTCTTTTTCAATAAGTTTTTACCACACGGTTGCTCATGGTTATGGTGTGGATTCTCACAGATGGCACCAATTTGTTGACCTCGTTTTCGATCGGGGCCACGCGGACAACAGATATTGGATCCATTCACGCACATGTAAGCCTAGTTCAACACGCTAAGACACACAAAAGATCTGATGGAGGGCGTGGAAGTGGCTCAAAGGCACGGGACAACAACGTTCAAGTTCAACGAGACATTAGTGGAACAATTGTACAATAATTATCAATCGTGGATGATGAATATGATGGTAAAATGGAGTGTATTGTTTTGTATTTGTTCTTGTATTAAATCTTACATTAGTCCTACAAAAGTTACATGGGAGAGTATTTATAGTGGTACAAATTTAATTGTGGCCCTCGGATGGGAATACACATGGCCTCATCTCCTTAATTCATATATATAATCCTAGGCACCACTTTTGACTAACTAGCTTGCTATGCATTTATTAACTATGCAGAGCCCCCACTTTCTTTGACAAGACTTATTACTTCAACTTCCCAGCGATCATTCGAAGAAGATGCTTGTGTAAAGACGGATCTCTAGAAAGAAGTGATACTGAAGGTGCTTCGGAGGCAACAGGTTTGGCATATGGGCCTCGAATTGAACCACTTTGACCAATGCTCTTCGGATTTCATGATGCCAAGCTTCGGTTGAGATGGCCCATATTGGCTTCAAGGCCTCGATCACCTTGCCATGTCCCTCGGCTTGAGTGGGCCAAGAGCTATAGTGAATTGGTCACGTGGAACCACGTGTAACAAGATGTAACACGTCATTCTAATCATACTGACACTAAATTTTCAAATTTCTTGACCAAGCGATAAACTCCCAAAAATCTAGTAAGGTATCAAGAAAAATATCAATGGAAGTTTATGGTATTTAGAAATATCCATCAATGATAATAATAAATTAAATAAAAGTTTATACATTTCATGGCTTATTATTAACCAGCAAGATTCTGCAGGGAAACGGCAAAAGTCTCGAATCTTCAATTAGGTTATTTGATTGATTTAGAGAAATCAACACTACAGTTTTATTGCTTAGCATTTAAACTTGCATTTAGGCTGTTGTATTGTTCTTGGAAGAACTGAAGAACATTGGGATCCAGCCCATGCATCTTTCTTTCAGTTTGCAAGGATTTTCTCCTACTTATACTCCAGCTAGAGACTACCATTTTTATAGCTCACAGTCAGCTCTCTTTCTATGGAGACGATCGTAGAAAGAGAAAGAGCGAGTCTTATCAAGCTGCTAAAACTACAAGAAAATAGTATGAAATGTAAAGAATATAATCCTAATTATTCAAGTAATGAAATGAAGAATGAAACTTTGACTCCCTTCAATGATATTGCAAAAATTCCTTGAAACTGTGAAAATCAAACACTTCCTTTCTCTTTTGTTTCATTTTTCTCTCAAAACACGAAGAAAAATGGTGGCACATGAGCAGCGGGTGTGTCGTACATATACACGGTCTGTATAAATTGTGAATCCCATCAAAATTACTTATTTTGCCCCAAATTATAGACAACTTTTCTTATTAAGAGTATAATTGATTTCTTAATTTTATGTGTTTTGTATCAATAAACACGTTATTGTATTTTGTTCTCTAATATGCCCTATTCAAATGTTTTTAGTCGACTAAGTCAGTTCACGGGCCCAGAACCCTGCAAACCACACAAAATACATTATAGATTGTACCCACTGTCCAAGATGCAACATTGTTCATGCGCTATTTAGGGTCAAAAGCTATTTGGATGTATAGTTTGAATCATATAGGACCTGTTCGATAGTAACTATAAAAATTAATTTTTTACTGTTAAAGAGAAAAATGAATCCCACTTGTCAATGAAAAAGTCAAAAATGATGACTGAAATAGTGAAATAACGATCAAAAAATCGATTTTTTGTGGTGAAAAATTGCTACCAAACGAGGGCATAGTATCCAGATTGGTAATAAATGAAAAGGCAAAAATAAGTTAAATACAATGAAACTAACGACTTCAGTTGGCATCATATAGGCAACAAATGAGATTATTTAACACAAAAACTACTCATACTATACTAAAAAATATATATATACACATTCATTGGATAGTGTCCTTTCCAGTCAAAGGTTATTGCACGTTCTATCACAGAATAGAATTTAGTGCCAGTTGAAGAATAAAATTCTACTCAAATCTAGTATACCAATTTTCATGTAAATCATCTTCGGTAAAACTAATTCCTTTTCAGTCTATCAGCGTCACCACAAGTCCTCAAACCAGCACAAAACATACCTTAAGCACCGACAGTTATTAGCTTACGAGCGTAGGATATACGATCCAAGCCTGCCTCACTAAGGGAGACCAACACGCGATGACAAGCCAAAGCTGTTGCTGTGATAAATATGACAAATGAAGTCCAGCAGAATCTCAGCATTAAGACAGGATCTTTCCTCGCAGAATGTAATGCCTTCAGCACAATGATTTTTAGCCGCCGATCTCTCAGGAAGGACTGAGAATCAATGTTTGATGTGTCTATCGTAGGAGGACCTATCTGTGTGCTTTTGGCAGTGCTGGCCAACACTACTTGCGAACGAAATTGGGTTATGTTAACAACTTTTGCCAAGGCTGCGGTCATCCACTGGTACAATATATTGGCAACGACCATACAAATTTCTTGGCGGAAGAAGCTTGCCTCCTTGGAAACCACTGCTCGAACTAATGAAGATCCGTCCTGTTTATCAAAGTGCATATTTAATCAAGCTTAAAACATAAAGTTAATAGTTTACCCTGTAGGTTTAGTATGTTTTATGTCAAGTTACAACATATTACAATTCTTATATGTGGGAGTTGATCAGTAGAATATGGAGAACTTTATCACGTATGCATTTATAGTCAAATAAAAATTTCAGCTGCAACTGTTAACGGATAGAACAAAACCAAGGAGAGAAGGTTTTTCAGTTATCAGGGTCAACCATCCTACAAATTTCCGAACACCCATTAATTATCAGACAAAAACAAAAAATAAAATAGTAACAGCAAAATATCTAATAAATAAAAAATTGTCCAACCAAGCTCTTAAATTAAGAAAATTATCTTTGGTTGGTTTTGGCTTAATGCTTACGTCATTAACATTGCCATGAAGTACCAGCCAACTAGACTTAAAAAGGCAGCAACAGTTATGTATTCAGTTGACATGGGCAACGAGGTTACAAATGTCAGGTGAAAAGAACTCACTGCAGTCATTAATAGTCTTCTCAAGACAGCTCCATTTTTCGATGGTAGAAGTTTCAAAACCAGGTTTGCAAGATCAACTCCACGGGGAACTGCATTTGCAGACTGATTAAAAGAAGCCTGAGCATCCGATGGTGTCAATGAATGCAACCCTTCCCTAGAAATGAGATGCTAGAATTAATTCTAGATAAAGGCACTGTGGCAAACAGACCATCCCCATTTACCAAATAAACAACTCGCTTCTTGAGAAACAGAGAAAGGGTCACTTAGAAAATTATGATGCAATTCTAATGGGAAATTGCCAACAGTGAGCATAAAAATGTAATTGCTCCAAACCCAAGTTTAAGAAGAAAAATAGCAGTAGCATGGCAAGTTGCTCCAATTCTAAAGAAAATTTTAGTTCCAAATACTGTTAAAGAGGAAAAGATAGTAGTAACATACCAAGTTGCTCCAATTCTTAAGAAAAGGGAAAGCTTTTGCAACTGGAACTCTTTCCTTCTGTTCAACACAACCTGATAGAACACATGAAAAAAAAAATATCAATCAACACTGAATTCCCATAATATGTAATAGTCTCTTTCTGAGAACCTTGAGAGGTTGATAGCCCCAAAAATCAGGTTGTGATGAGATAGCATTAAGCATAATGCAGGATACGTTTACAAACATATGGAAAGAACTTCCCTAAAAACATGAGTAAAAAAAGGACATGAAAGAGTTAGAAATAGGCCTCATCATGATATAGGCATTAGGTACTGAAATCATAATTCACCTCTTCCTAGATTATGTCGAAGCCTACAAGCATAAGCAGCTTAGTAAAAAATCAAGTGACAGTTGCAACACATGCCAATTCAAAAGTACAGATTATCGTGGAACATCACCCAAAGTCTCGAAACCATTATTTTCATTGTCAAAGTCATTTTTAAGGTTCCAACTATCCGATATTGCAGCTAGAATAGGAGAAAAGGAAAGAATTAAAGACAGTCAATGGTCGAGGAGATAACTAAGAGCAAAGACATCGTGATAAGGTAAAATATTCTATCATCTAAAGAGTAAGCACCGAATGTAAAATTCTCCTTGGAATAGCAGAGTTGTCGACGAGAAGCTTCTGAACAACAAAAGGGTAAACAGCCTCAAATGTCTTAAAAGTTGGATCTGCAGCTATAGCCAATCCTGAGAAATATTTGAAGGAATCTGATTAGTGTTCACAGTGTGAGATCAGAATTGATATGGACAAGGAACAATAGAGTAAAAAAGAAGCAGGTAGAAGTTGTTCACTCAAGGTATTTATTTTCGCAGAATGAAGAATTGCAAGACTATATTTAGAATTTTCTTATGAAACAAAAAATTATTAGTTTTAACTATCGGCATTGTTTATAATATATCCACGAGAAGAATCAACTCTAGTTTAATCACACAAGACATTGCTCAAGTGGGAAGATTATTTTAAACTAGCTTTGATACCATGTTAAACCCTAAGCCCTATAAAACTTAAGCTATTACAGAGAAGACACATTTACTCATAAAAATTTAGTCATCAACAATGTTGTTAACCACCTCATCTAAAAGCATAAAGCTCATGGTGTAAAAGAGGGTATCATAGATTCAATTAAATTTAGTTTTCATCGGATTCATGTTTTATTGAAGGTCCAACTCGTGCTCAATTTTTCATAAATAGGTGGCGGGGAGACTTGAATGGCTTGATACTATGCTAATCACCCCATCTAAAAGCTTAAGATGTTGGACATGAGCCACACGTCATATAAAATCTTGTCTTTACCAATAATGTACAAAGTAATCTTTCATTTGTCAAATTTTCTACACCAGCCTATTGCACATTAGGAGAACACTAATCATAATATCAAATCGCATGCTTCTGATTGTTGTATTTAGGATTCCAAGATTACTTTATAAAATTTGATTCAGATAAGCCATGTCCCACCAACTGGTTGAGGATTTTCATCGTTTCGAAAGTTGAATCACCCCCAAATTGACCGATTCCCCAGATAGTGAACTCGCAGATTAATTGGCAAGGAGTTCTATCCTATGGAAAGGTATCCATACAAGTCAACCAAGAAAGAGACAACTAATGAGCTCAACAAGTCATGTTATCTATGTAACTGTCCAAAGTTGAGTGTTCATGTGAGATTAAGTTAATGTTTTGTAGATTAAGCATTAATAACATTGTCATCTTCCAAGGCCTAATAAATAATATACATAAATGAAAAGAAAAGGAACACATCCTTGCTGACAGTGAAAGACGAGATTCTATGAAGCTGTACATAAGGATAGTTCTTTCACTGCAGAGAATGGCATGACGATTTACCTTCTAGAGATGCAAGAGACCGCAATAATAGGGTATAGTATGGTGGCATGCGGAAATGGTATTTGATTGCAACAGACCAAATTTTACCCAGAACCTTCACAAGAAGTATTTTGACAATCAGCCAGCTATTCAAAGAAATAAAATTAGTAAGACTTGCATATTCAGTCAATAGATGCAGCTCTCTGGTTTCATTTCTCAACTCTGGTTCACATGGCATTCAACAACCAGCCACATGTTAGTCCAAACACAAATAAGTGTTGAGGACATCATTCAACAATCAAATCAAGAACTATACTTCTGGTTATGAAGCAGAACGAAGTATCAGAATAAAACATTGCCTCAGAGCTGCAGCGATTCATAGATAAAAACTACTAGTGCAAATGCAAATATGATTCTCACTTTACTAAACTTGATGTCAGGGATTCCATTGTTAAATTCCACTTCGCTCAACGCATCTTCCAGGTCCTGAATAATTTCAATGAAATGTCAGTTATGCAAGTAATATCAGAAGATACTCCATTACTTTTACAATCACATTCCTAGCAATTAACTAGATGCCTGGATATGCTTATCTGTCCAAATCAAAGTGACAACAGAAGAAAAATATTATAGTAAGGACAAATAGTACGAGACATGGATGCTACCATGGTGACAAGTCGGATTTTAGTCCCAGGTTTTACAACATCCATTTCTGTCAGATCATATACAAGGGATGCCCAATCTCCGTTAACTATGTGCACAATGGAAGCAAGCATGGCAAACTGATGCCTTCTTTCCATCCGACAAATCAAACCAAAATCAAGAAACCTACAACAAAGAGAGATGAGCATGAACCATATATTTGTCAGATATTCATGTCAAACTAACAATTTTAATTTGCAAAGCATAGTCAAGGATCACAGCAGGATCTGCTACCTTTAATCAATATACAAAATAGCAAAAGAAAGTTTTACCCTATTTGTCCAGATACTGTAAAACGTAAATTTCCAGGATGAGGATCAGCATGCAATAGGCCAGTCTCAAGGAGTTGAATCAATGATGCCTGTACTCCTTTTTTAACCTAGAGTAGTTGAGGCAGAAGAATTAGTATGTAAGTTGCACCAGAATTGTTTTTCAAGCATATCATTGAACTAGATTGTTTCAGAATGCTTCTATTCCAATATTCGACAATAGCGAATCATATAAATATAAATTTGCAAGTTACAGTCATTTGTCCAACAAGCATCTTCACCTAAATTACATACACCATCAGTGATCTGGGCATGATCCCTTTTCTGACATCTATCACATGCCCACTCCAAAAATATCACTCTTTCCCTTTGTAGCAGGCCCTCAACTTCCACTTATTGCCAATCTTCTAAATTTAAATAACACAGAGCTTTTAGTCCTCAAGTAATGAAAATTTTGTGTCCTGGTCCTCTACCTTCAGCTTAGCAATGTTTGCACTAGGTAGCAGGTACAACACGGGACAAAAATACGATAATTTTATAAAGTCAGACTATTCAGACATCACTTGCTCTGAAAAAGAGACATGGAAGGAAACAAAATGGGTTCATTTCCATATCCTTCTAACATGGGCTTGTTTTATTACTAAGAACTGCCAAGATGTTGCACGACATTATACCTCTAGGATATGCTGTGAGAATTATTTTTAGTTCCACTCTAATGTCACTTTTGCGTGAATGTGTTGTACCTGTAGTCTTATTGCTTCTAGTTTACAATTTGACCCAAAGCATGAAAATAGGGGATAGATGTTTCGTGGCAAAATGTTGATGACCAATATCTTAAATAACATTTTTATAGAAATCTTGATTAGACTTGCAATATATTCTCACATTTTATTTAAAATGCAGTAGCATAAAGTCAGATTGTTATATTCTACATACCAAATCAAGAAGTTTTGCTCTAGACTCCTCAGAAGATTTGAATAGCAAGTCGCTTGGACTGTCACCAACCATCCACTCCATAGTCAAAACTCTCTTTTTACTCAAATGTTGAAATACTTTTGGAGCACAAATAAATGGAAAACGAGAATGAACTTCCTGCAGAGGAAAGAATATGCTTCTCAAAGGAATTGCATTTATTAAAGAGGACTAAAATACATCAGACGTGCACTTGGTGCATCACCATCCAAAAGACTAAAATTCATGTCTATCGAAGAAACAGCTTATGTTGGTAAAACCATATCTACCCTTGTCACATACTTCCATCAGATACTTGCACTATGAGGATGACTCAATTATATCACCAGTTCTTGGACTCTTTCCAAGAATTGAAGTTCAAAATTTAACATAGGTTTAAAAGTCGAACTGATTTTGGTTCAATATGAATACAGAGAAATTCTCTTGCTGTCCTATTTACCTGAATTTTCTTAACATTATACTTGGAATAGAGAGAGAGAGAGAGAGGTGTCGACGCATGATGGTCCACGGACAAAACTAATTAAAGTTCAGCACATAAAAATTACCATGAATTCTATGGCGTTGGCAGCCTCCAAGTTGTAATCTAGCTCCCCGACTAATCCTTTGCCAAGTTCATCAGCATACAATTGAAGGTCATTTTTTCTTTTTAAAATCTTTTGCAGTAGTCCCAGCTGAAACAATTTCCTAGAGTTAAAAGTATAGCACTCTATGCCTACTCGAAGGACAGACTATAAATAGCAGAGTTTCAGACAAACCCCAATACGAAGAATATAAATATCTCGAACTACTACATGACATAAGTTAGGGCGCTGGACTTTCACAGCAACATCAAATCCATCACATGTACTTCCCTTGTATACCTATGAAGAGTGTCAAGAAAATGCATCAGCAGATTAGTGACAAGACTTACACAGCTAATAACAGCGACGTCTTGTCTATTTAGTTTTTATATTTTCCTCTTCAGCAGAATCTAATTTTGACTTATCATGTGTTGGATACATTCTAGAGCCTATAACATCCGACGGAAACATTTCACACCTGCCCAAATGAAGCTGCAGCTACAGGTTCCTCAGATATATAGCTAAACAATTTCTCCACAGGATAACCAAATTCTTCCTCGACAATCTTCATGGCCTCAGCCCTTGGAAAAGGAGGGACTTGATCATGCAGCTCAGATAAAGCCTGCAATCATCAATTACCAGAAAATGAAAAATAACATATATTCATGCATTGCTTCTAGTCTGCATTAACCACATACGATATGCAATCAGCTACTCAATTTTAGCAGAACAACATGAATAATAGCTGCATAAATAGATTGCTTTAGTTAATGTAAAACTTTGCAGGGATGAAGTGCACACTTTTAAGTTCCAACAATTGAGTTATGTAGTATTTTTCAATGGGTTTGTATATGCTGCATACATAAGACAGAACTCTCATTGCACACACAAAACTTCAGATATATTTGGATTATACTTCACCCGGAACTTTAATTAGTCTAGTAAGATCGCAAAAGTCTACATAAATAAACTTTACACTAATGGTGTAATTCAAATGCAGGTCATGATAGGCTTGTGTACACTAACAACACATCTACTTTAATCTCTGTTCTTGCTTATATATGACATTGAGTTCTCTGTGTCCATGCCTTTTTTTGTAAGGGAGAAGAATTCTCTGTGTGCATGCCTTTTATATGTGGGGATGGGGAAGGGGGAAGTTAAATTTATCATCAATGGACTTATAGGGGATATATCGTATTTATAACCTGTTTACTCTATTTTGCTCGGGTAAAATGGTTTAACATTGGCAATGCTTAATTTGTTGGCCAATAATCATAAATGATGGGTGGTGACACATCGAGGCAATAACAAGGGAAAACAAATGATAACATGTTCAACTTTGCAGTACGGGAAGTGCTGGAGAACTGGAGATCTCAATTATCAAAACCTGGAACTCAATATTAAGCAAAAAATCTTAAGTACGTACAGTTTGTATCCATTGGTGGTAAGGGCCATAAGGCCACTGTCCATCTCAATATCCATAAATGGCTTGATAATAAAGGAGCAACTCAATGTAAAATACAACAAAGATATGCAAATTCATCTTACCTTTGAAATTTCAGAACCAATTATATCTGGCCTTGTGGAGAGGGACTGACCAACTGCATGGAAGCAAACGCAAACATAAAAGAAAGTTGGCGATGAATAAGATTATGATACTGAGAAACAATTAAAAACAACTACATATAGTAATAATGATAATACTGAGAAACAATTCAAATAAACTACATATAACAGAACAATCTCTCAAGTTATTGTGATTTCCTGAATTGGGTTACACGTCATTAGTCATTATAAACAGTGTTACTTACCTTTAATAAAAGTGGGGCCCAAGCTTAGCATTGTTTCTTTTAATATTGTCCCAAAATTGTACTTGAGAATGTTTTCATCAGCATCTTTATCTGTAGCGGAGAGGATGCTTGAGATCTGGATTTTGATTGCAGCGGAAACAAAGGCAGCAAATACCTACCGCAAGATACAAGCAAATAAGAATGCAGCCCTCTTGACAGCTCTCTCCTACTGATTATTAATAGAAGGAAAGAATTTCTACGAAATTTCGACCATAATGTCGATACAGGACAAGAAGCACGAACATATGTTGACATCAAATGAATATCTTATGCCAAGAAGTAGACAAACTTTATTCAAGACACCTTCAAGGTGGAATTAAATAATATGTAAAGTATGCTCTGTTTAAATGCTATTGAGAAAGAACATTCCATGTAGTCCATGAGAAGGCTCATGATCTAGCAATCTGCACAGGGTACCATGTGTTGTCTGGGAACCAATGCTGATTATTTTATTTTGCAAATATATCAGCTAAGGCATACTGCTGAAACAAGTACACGAGAGAACAAACTCCACTGAATAGAATAATTGAATTTTATTCACGTGCTAAAAAAAAAAAAAATAATAATAATAATAATAATAATAAATTCATGCTCGAGCTCGAGCAATACAGTTTCATGTGTTCCAAATCAACATATCAAACACCCTATGCTCAAGAACTAAAATTATCAATATAGCAGTCAAGAATCTAATTAAGCATCACAAAATTCTGAACTTAACTGGAATAGGGAAAATAAAAAAGAACTGAGAGATGAGAAGCCCAAAAGTTTTTGCTCTAGCCAAATTGCTTCTTAGTGCATGTACCTTGGACAAGAAAACATTGGTCCAAGGATTCATCATAAAATTAACTCAGCTACGAACACATCATTTCATTCATTTTATTTTATGTTCCATTTTATTTTTCCCCTTCTGTTACAGTAGATTGCTAGAAAAATCGTTTACTTTTCCATCTCATATCAGCCAAAAATTTCCAGTTTTAACTCAAGGGCAAAAACAAAGAAAAAAAATAAGAGACAAGTCCTAAAGCTTTACCTCCAGCAAAATTGCTTGGGGATTCTTTTAATAGCATTGCAGTTTCTCTTAAATGAGTCTAAAATAGAGGATTATGTTCCAACCAGGCTCCAAACCACCTTCCCCCTCCCCCTATCCACTTCCCCCAATCCCTAATTAATTCCATAATTGAAAATCCAAAGTTCAAAACCCCAGGCTCCAAACCCCCATCCCATTCCACACTCCGTTCCCACTTATCCAGCCCCAGGCTCCCACTTTCACTTGCTTTTTCACCTTGGCCATCTGTCCCCTTCACAGTTGAAATTGGTGAATTTCAACAATTAAACATTGAGACTTATTGCTGAATACTGTAAACAACTTCTATGTATTTTAGTTGTTAGGGTGGGTGCTGTGTGCATTTGGTTATTTAAATGGAACTGTCAAACAATTTGATAAAAAAGATAGCCTTCTTTTGGGGAAAAAATGCTTTGTGACTAGTTGGGAAAGTATACTAACTGACAAGATTACTATAAATTTTCTGTCTTTTCACTCGATGATCCTCATTGTGAGGATTCCTTTGTTTAAATAGGAGCAATAGCCCTCGTTACAATGCTGAAACTCAGCTATCATTGTACTGTACATAGAAAGACAATAAATTCCTACCATTTACAGTGGAAATCTACAGCTAATATACAAGGTATCTTTTCTCAATTGTTGGCTGTAAGTAAGTTTCCTTAAATTCGTGCAACACGTCCATATCCAATTGACACTAAAGATATATAATCAACAAGAACAAGATTGAGGAAGAGACCGGAGAAAGAGGAAGAGGAAGAGGGAGAGAAAGAGAGAGAGACGAGGGAGACAATAAAGAAAATTTAGGGAGAGAATATCAATTTTATTTTATATCAATGTTAAGAGCATTAAGATGCATAAGCACCTTTATTTAGGGTTTCAAAAAACCTATTCTAACATCGAATAAAATTATAGAGAATCTAACAAAATACTAAAAATTCGAACTAATTTAGGTGTGAAACAACTATTAAAATATTAGAGAATCTAAAACCCTAATTACATATAGAGTTTGGAAAGTCTTCCAAATAATATATCTTTTGACTCTGGCAAGATACACCCCAACTTTGCACATAGGGACTACAATATTGGTGGCTCAAATGTGCTCCGACAAGGAAACAATTATGCAATATTGAAAACATAACACTCATTTAAGTGTGGTGGTCAATCAAATAGATTACTTTCTACTGGGTAATCCAGGAAAATTTTCTTTATCCATTTCGAAAATCGTGCCAAATAAACATGTAAAAATTCATAAAAATCACCTTGAGAGCATCAATGTCTAAATTGTGCATCAAAAGCAAGATCATAACTTTCATTATTTTAAAAGTATTTAGCATTTTATCTCAACATGAAAATTAGGAAAAAGGGATAATAGATGTAAGAGCTAAAGGAATATTAAAGTAGTTATTAGGCAATGTCATCAATAGGAAAAGTGATCGAACAATGACCTTAAAATATGCGGCAACCTGAGGAGTATCATACGGTCAAGGTAATGCGACAAAGAAGTCGATGTTAAAATCAAGCAAAAGAGTTGGGCAATAATTCATTCTCAACCATACATTTCATCAACTTTTATTAAAATCTATTAAAAATCTTATATATAACTAAACCAAATGATCGCTAAATATAAATGTCCATACCTATGTCTTAGACAATAGTGTTAACTCATAATTGTCCAACATAACGGAAGTCAACATGTTACATCATTCTCTAGACCAAATTTTATACAGAGTAAAGCGAATAAAAGGTGAAACTACAGAGGACAAAATGATAATCCTGGAAGCTAAAAGAATGTATTAAGCCTAATCCCATTTTTCAAACGGGATACTCAGGGTTAGTATTTCTGAACAAAACTGAATTAGCAGAGATTATCTCCTCAGTTGTACAAAAACATAAACAAACTTAAGCTTCACCCAAATATTTTCTTCAAGACATGGATCATTATTATGTTTTGGAGAGCATAATTATAAAATGAACAAAGTGCACCCTAAAACCTAGGAATCTTGGAAACAAAGCATGCAAGCACCACATGCATTGCATCTAAGCAATGTGAATACTGATTCTAATTAAAATTTTCCACATATGAATAATATGAAATATGTAGACTTGCTGCAATTTCAAGTAATTTAAACAATAATATGTCAAATTTCCTTTTTTTTTTTTTTTTTTTTAATAAACTTGTGCAATTTTGCACCTCGGCATTTTAAAAGCGAGAGCCAGCAAGGACAGACCTTGCCGCACTTTGCACTTAAGATCCCTTTTATCAACTATGCTGGAGAGTCAATCTGATATTAACTTTGTAAAAATTAGAATCATGAAATTAGCCACATGATAATTTTGATTTAGAAAAGAGGTTGCTGCCTGAAATTCCATATGCAAGGGGATAAACAAAAATTTGTGGAATGTCAAAGTATGATTGATTACCTCAAGAAGCCGAAGGGTCACTACATGAGGCCTCAAGCTAAAATAGTCTGTGACATTCTGTGGGTCATAGATTTCAGGTAGTGGCTTCGTCCACATCTTGGCAAGATAGTATAAGTAGCTAGCATACACATCCAAGGCTTTGAGATCAGCTAGAAACAAATCAATGCCAGAAAGTTCTGTCAAAAGGAGAGAAAAGAAAACAGGTCAGGTTCAGATATCAATTTGTTGAAGACAAGACATGAACCATCTATCAGTAGCCTCTCAAATAGCCTAGTCTTTTAGATCAAGGTACTAAAGCAAATTAAAGTCCTGATTTAAGCCTTGCCTCCATCCATTTTATAAAATTGTGAACGTTTTAGGCTTCGTTGGGAAAAAATGAATCCCATCTACACGTAAGGGAACGTGTACAAAATAAGATTTACCTCCTATTTGGTTTAGATTAAAAATTAGATTTTTTTTATTTTTTTGGGAAAGTAATCAAGAGAAAGCCCCAGCTTACGTGATCATAAGCCATTTGAATGTCAAGCTTACATAACATTACAAGAACCCCCATAAGCTGTCTTGAGTCGATGCATTCAGTTGCTATAAGTACGGAATCCAAAATCCGGCGCCCTTTAACAAAAGTATTTGAAATTTAGATATCACTTTCCCCAACACTTCCCTTAATCTATTCGCTAGAATCTTATCAATAATTTTGTATACCCCACTCACTAAATCGATGGGTCGAAAGTCCTTGATGTCAGTCTCTCCCAGTTTCTTGGGAATCAAGAAAAATAAATGTAGCATTTGCGCTTCTCAAGAACCTGCCACATGGAAGAAAGAAGTAAGAACATCCACTACATCCGACGCACTCATTCCCAACATGCCTTGTAGAATGAAAAGGAGAAACCCTCCAATCCTGGGGCCTTGTGGTCGTTCATGATGAATACCAGATCCCTAATTTCATCCTCCCCAAATGGTCTCTCTAATCATCTGGCTTCCTCCTCACTAATCATAGAAAAATCTAGCCCCTCCAACTCTGGCCTCCAGTCAAACTGCTCCTAATAAAGATTTTGATAAAAGCTCACCATTTGGGTCCCGATATCCTGTGGGTCCTCATAAGTAACCCCTTCTACATCCAACATTGTGATAAGAATATTTCGCTTGTTAGAATTAGCAACCCTATAAAAAAACTGAGTGCATTTGTCTTCCTCTTTCAATCACTTGACCCTATATTTCTGACGCCAAACAATCTCCTCCATCTCCTCAACCTCTCTAGCTCTTCCCTTAACTCTCCACGTCTCTCCCTCTCATCTCTAACCAATTCTCTACTCTTCTCCCTTCTATCCAACTCTTCTATATCTAACATGCATTGGAACAGTTAACGTATCCCACCTCCTACTCATTCCACCTCTTCAGAACCATTTTCAAAGCCTTCAATTTTCTATCCAGCACATAACTGGTAGACCCCTTGAAGTCATACGACGCCCAACACGTCTGTACACACTCTACAAAACCTTCTATTTTTAGCCAAATCTTCTCAAACCTAAAGGGCATTCTTCCGATGCTCCTCACAATCCCAGATAACGAAATACGGAAATGATCTGGTTATATCCTCCCCAATCTCCTCTGAATGACCTCTGAATACTTAGCCTCCCACTCCCCACATACCAAAAATCGATCTATTTGGGATAAGATAGACTGATCCCGATTACATGACCAAGTAAAATTTCCTCCACTCATAGGCAAGTCCACCAACATGTTCTCTCTAATGAAATCGAGAAATCCTACATGGCCCTTGTTACTCGCCCACAACTAGACCTCTTAGTCGGGAACTGAATTACATTAAAATCTTCTCCAATACACGTTGTGAGATTCCACCAAGCCATCATCTACTCTCATCAACATTAGGCCATAAATTCCTATAAATATCCATCGGAATCCATCCCCAATATTTCTAAACAAAAGCGATAAGAGAAAATTGCCCTTCACTAACCTCCTCCATATCAAAAACTCTAGTATCCCACATAACTAACACAACTCTTGAGGCCCCCAATAACCCCGGGAACTGATACACGACATGCTATCCCCCCATAGACTAGTCAAAACAGCCCTTAAAACGACCTCCAACTTTGTTTCCTTTTTCTTTTTTTTTCCCTTTTTTGATGTCTGCAACTTTGTTTCTTGTAAGCAAACAATGTTAGCCTTCCATCATCTTAATAAATTTCGAATACTCAACTTTTTCCCTACTTCATTAAGCCCCCTCACATTTAACTAATGATTTTTGGGATCATCTTAACACTCCATCATCCTTCCCCATCAATCCTCTCCTTGACTCGCCTCCTTTAACGTCATAACTCAACCAGCATTCAAGTCGTTTAAACTCAAAGTCACCCTTTCTTCTTATCTTACCTCCTGGTGTACCCATCCCCTGTCTTCTACTAGCCTCCAATTCCTTGAATAATCGCAAGAGCCTATTTTCATACCGATCGTATGACACAACCACCATCTTGCAAAATTCCAATTTTTTTTGGAAAACCCAATTCAATGGGGGAGTCGCATGTTAAGTGCATTGCCCTTCACTCTCTCCTCATCGTATGGAGGATCATAGTATTGTCCCTCATTCCCTACCTATACCTCATCACTGTAAATATATCCCTTCTCAGCCATCTACACACACCACCAAAGCTCTATCATTCCTTAAATCCCCCTCACTCGTAGCCTTCGAATATCTACTTGTGTATGTGTTCATTACCATAGTTTCAAAGCCCATCGCTTCTTGCTATTTTTTTGATTATCGAAGCTAGACTATCTACTAGCACAATTCCAATATCTTGCTCCATTGCCAAAAGTAACCCCTCTGTTGGATTCGTGTCCATCAGGATTCGTGTCCAGCGCACATGTAGAGTAGTTTGTCTTTGTTCAACATACTCAATCCCCTACCTTATCACAAGGTTCCACCTCTACTCCACTAGTCAGCACATAGGGATCATCATTTAGCTCAGTTAGCACCTCTTTGCTATAAGTTTGGTTCGATGTCATCTCCTTGGAATCCATGATTGCTACATTTGTTCCATTAACTGGACAACCATCCAAATACACCCCTTATCACAAGACTTCTTAGCACCTACTACAAACCCACTATCCATTAACTTGATTAATTCAACCAATTCCCCTTTCAAAGTCTTGATGTGGTCCCTTAATCCAATACCAGTCAGAAAGCAATCAGGTATGCCCCCTATTGTTGCTTCCTTAGATTTGTATGTGTCACTCTTCTCATTAACCTCCCTTTCCTTGTGCCACAGTACCCGCTGTTCAACATTCAATGAAGCTTGTAGGTTTGTCGTAACTCTAGCATAAGTTATCCCTTATCGACTCCCTGCTTCAATTGTTCGACGCTTAGCCTTATCTCCGATAATAAAAGAATCAACGAATCTTAGAAACACATGCGAAATCGAAGCCCAACCCTCTCCATTTGCCCCTTCTGGTACCATCACCACTCCTCTCCAACTTCTCTCTCCATAATGTGCTATAATCAGATACCCACCACGGCTATTCGCACATCGTTGTGCCAAAAAAGTTCGAGAAGACCCATTAAACTTCGCAAGAAAATCCTTTGTTTTATCAGCCGTCCTCAACTTATTCACCATATTTACTATCCAAAATGCACCAAACCTCTTCATGCAAATTGCAATCAATATCTTTGAACCTCGTTCTGTCATCCTAACAGTACCAAAATTGTTAACAGACACTGCAAACTCCTTCGCCTTTACTCTAAAACAGCTATTGAAAATCATCATTTTGTGTGCACCCACAAACTATTAACCCTGATTGTGTGTAGCCAAGGCATCTGACAAAGAACAGGTGAACGAGACAACCTAGCATCATCGAAAGAAATTTTCAGGGTCATCGGCGGCACGTGGGCTTCACACACCTGTAGAAGAGCTGCGGGAGCAGCACGTGATCCACGCCACCAGCCCTCCAACTTCAAAATCACCTGAAAAACCATCCGGTCGGGCGCATTTGTCAGGGTGGCGGCCCGATCTTAAGTAATTGGATCCCGATTGAGCTATAACAGATTCTCCTCTTCTTCCGCCGTGATTACTAGTGCTTGAACCCTCCGCATCGACCCTGTGAGGCGTGTCTCTGGTTGCTGCTTCAATACAAGTGGCGGAGCTAGAGTTTCCACCTAGCGCCGCCGCTTGTGTGTGACTATAGTGGGGCTTTGCGAATCGCATGAAATGTATTGTTAAAATTAATTGTTAACTTTCAATTGACCTTTTTTAGTTGAACCAAACAAGGACTTAAATGATACATCCACATTAGCCCTCTCTAATAGCTAATGCTTCTAGATCAAGTAATTCTAACAAAATCATCTATAAAATAAGATAGATTCTACAAAATATTTTAGAAAGATCCACATTCCACAAGCAACGTAGAAACACAAGCATTTTGGACATAAAGAATGAACACATAAATGCCACATCCTTGCCAACATAGATGCGAAGGATGCATATAATTCCACATTTTTTCACCAATTCAACCAATTACAATAGTTAATTTTCCAAAAGTCACTTATCAAAAAAAAAAAAATTCCCAAAGTCATTAAGGGCCTGCTTGAGAGTTTTTTGCCACCTGTTTTACCCAGTTTTTGGGTAACACCATTATAAGAGGCTGGAAAAACCCGTACTTGTTAGTTATTTAGAGTACTCGTTTATGGTGGTTTAAAAATCACCCAAAACTAGTGTAGTGTAATTTGGGAAATATTTCAAATAACTCGAGAGGCTTTTGGCTGTTCTTTAAATTTTCTTCCAAATTTACCGTCAATAAAACAATTTTTAACTAAAAATTTTATTTATAAGTTTAAAAATAACTATATAAGTAGATAAAAATTCACTTTTGTGTAAAAAAATTGGGTAAAATAAAAATACAATACTACTGATAATACAAATATTCATTTATAAAATATAAAAAAGTTACTTATAAATAAAAATTCACTTATGTGTAAAAAAAACTACTTATAAGTAAAATATCACTTAAGAGAAAAAAATTCGTACACAAAATTATAAATTGAAAATTTCAGTTAAGGGAAATATATGTTATTTTATTTGTTTAAAAATTTTCATAATCTCCCATGCATAGGCTGGATTATTTTAAAAATGGCTACTAAAAACCACCCAAGACTAGACTCGTCATAAATGTTCAAAACAAATACTTTAAACAAACCCCATAACTGGTACACCAAAACTCCCAGCAGGTCCCTAAGAATGTAAATTTGAAACTAAATTGCCAAGCTTTCCAAGCAGTCTCAAAATTTCACAGATTGTTATTCCCAATAATGACACTTCTCTTCTTTTGTAACAAAATCACATATCTTTAATTTTCAGCAGCACAAATTCTAATTCCAACTTATTCTATAAGTAATCTCATCTTTAACATAATTTTTTGGTGCCCTAACTTTACATAGGGAAATGTAAAATTCAAGATCATTATTAGTCTTACATGAACAAACAGTTCTATGAATATTTTACTTTGACAGGGTAATTAAATATCTACGTGACAAATTCCTAGCATGTGCTTCCCACTCAATTTGGGAAGAAAATAATTATTTGATAAATGAATATAAAATCTCAACAAAACTATTTCTTTTTCTTCTGTTTTTTGCATTCATATCCCTTTTACATAGAAGGTGGGCTTGTTCACCTTTTTAGCTGAAGTTTCGGTCTAGATAAAGAATAGATGTAAATATTTTATTCCGTGTATGAAAAATACAAGAGAGCATAACAAGCAGATACATCATCAAAACAATATTAAGTCCACAAAGAAACAGTATTTGTTTATCTAAAGTTCACATAATTCTTTTTTCAGAAGATTGAAGCCAGGTTTCGACAGAACAGATTAATGTCGATAGATCATTTCTTTTACCCATGTACATGCTATTTGAACTATGTCGTTGCAGTCCTTCCTATTTCCATAAACGAAAGCTTAGTTAGTCAAGCCAAAAAGTAAAGGGAAACCGCAGTTATCACTAGTTGGAAAATTTTCTTTAAATGTGTCTTAATCAAATCCATTTAAATATTCATAGTCTTCAAGATATCATAATGTAATTCAATGAATAACTAACTTCTTGTTGTTGCCTTTTGTTTCCCCTTAGAGGCATTTCAAAACATTATAGAGCCATAATAAACTTTTTATTCCTAAATCCAGTACAGTATTCATAAATTATTTCATCAATAGTGAATGATAAAGCATAGCTAAATAAATCATATTTTAGTGGACTAATAGCTCATAATACACTATTACACATTTACTCAAACAATTTTATTGCATCATGATGAATATTTGACCAACATATCATTCAAAATCACTTACACTTTGATTTTCTAGAAAGAAGATACATTAACTTAAAAAGCTATAGTATTTCTTATTTAATCTTAGCTTTCTTTTTAAGTTTTCACATCATAACTTCTATCTCAAATGAGAATCTATATTATACTTATTACAAGTTAATGAATTTTCAATATTACTCAATAAATAATGACTACTCTAAGTATATACGAGTTTCAATTATACGATTATCATTAAAGTACCTACTGACCAAAAAATAATAATAATAATTTCCACTCTAAAATTTATGCGAAATTCTTCCAAAACCAAAGGAACTTCTGTGTTAAAACATGTACATCATCATCAGGGAAATGAAGTTGGTTCATAACAAGTTCTACTATATCATCTATTGGAAATAATCAACTAAAAGTGAAGTTATTGAGTAAACAAGAATCACCTGCTTGGTTGCTATGCTGTTATCCATTTGGATTTAATAAACATAAGCAACCACAGATACAGTGCATCTAGCATGAGCAGACTCCAACAATAACAGCACAATAAATTAAAAATACCACAACGCAACTTCTGTACATTCATCATCATCAACTCCAGTACACATATAGGAAGGATTTGAAATATGTACACTACCGATGCAGACAGGAAGTGAAGGAAATGCATTTAATACCTCAAGCATGTGCTGAAATTTTAGATCCTAGATAAATAAATTCAGTTGAGCACTATATTCTTTATACAGCCACTCCATAGAAATTCATATGAACCAAAATTCGACAGACATATGAGTTCAATTAATCAACTAACCAAAAGTAAGTAGAATAATGACTTGAAAAAACAAAAGGTACTTCTACCTACGTGGATAACAAGGCTGAGGCCAAGAGGGAAACTGGAGAAACGAAGCTTGTGGGTCCTCCACATTTCGCAGCCACACCAAATCCTCGACCAATTTAGTGAACTGCGGAATACGAAACGCTTTATTGGCCCATTGCAAGCCTCTGTTTATCCCGGTTCTTAGAAACAGAACATCATTTTGTACAACCTCCACTATGTTTTCCACCGGACCGCCATTATAGCTCAGTTTTTGCTTCCCAGCACTAGTATTGGTTTTGTTAGTATTGTCTTGATGGGTTCTCCTAACTCTTGGAGTGGTTTGAACGGAGCAAAGAACAGGCATCAATGATAATACTGATGCCATTGTCAAGGGCATTTCGGAAGGTTCAGATAGTAGTCTTCGGGATTGATTTATGTAGTGAAATATTGAACGGTGGTCAATAAGGTGTCATATAGCATGAGCAAATTTTCACCTGAAGATCGGAGTAAAAGTGCCCCGGGGGGGTCGGGGTCACCGCCGCTGTGTCTTGTGCTTGTGGCTCTGTAGGCAGGCGTGTACGGTGTACCAGTGCTGACTTTTCTTTTGAGGCCATTATAAATTCATTTTTTTTTTTTCTAAGACTTAATTTTCGGCCACGTATCCTTTAGATCGGCTTTAATTCTATAAAAAAAAGTAACATTCGATAAATTCGTTTTCTACTTTGATTTTTGGTAGCATCAAAAGTAAAAACACTTTAAAACATATTTTTGACCAATTGAGTGAAAAATGCATTCCTATAATATTGGTGAGTTTTTCTTTTATAACTTACATGGAATTGATTTATCGTTTTCACATTTGCAATCAAATACAACCTTAATAAAATAATTAACTCAAAAATTTTTCTTAATTTTTAACCATACATTCTCTATCAATCACTATTTATAAACGAATTATTTTCTCTTAAAATGGGGCTCAAACAAGGGCTTTAAACGAAATTGAAATTGAAATTAAATTGAAATTGGACATCTCGATTCCGGTTCCAAAAAATAAATTAGAAACCTAAATCAAAAGCCATTTGGGTCTGAGTCGTTTCTTAGTTCTTAAACTAAAATTGTGCCTCTACTCATCTTTATTAGTTTATTAAACATGATTCTATCTTTTGTTAACTTATCTCCAATTGTATTTATATCAAACTTTGTATTTATCTTTAGCTATGCATGGCCCTATAAATAGTGGCCTTTATAATCTTATTTTATACAATGAAATATACATACAATTATTTGAATTAATGCGGTATCAAAGCTCACAAATTGACTTTTTTTCATGGCTTCTTCATCGTCCAATACTCAACCAATATTTCCTGTTCTTCTTTCCTCTAACCAAATGGTTCCAACCTCACATATTACTTCTTTCACTTCCACTCATCACACCTTCTCCATCAAACTAAATTCTAAAAATTATTTGGCTCGGAAAACTCAATTCTTACATGTCTTTAACTATCAAGATCTCAAGGGATTTGTTGATGGAACAACCATTGCTACTCCAAAAACCATAGCTTCCTCTACTTTTCCACCTGAACAAATTACCAAACACTGGAGGACACACAGAGGGTCCTGGTGGGTCACTTGACCCACTAACTTAAATTTTTATTTTTATTTTTTATTTTTGGTTTGTTTCCTCAAAAATCATATTTAAAGCCTTAAGAAATTATTTCTTTGTAATGATTTCTTTCGTATTTTTTTATGAAACGGAATTGAGGATTCCCTTAAATACATTAAATTCTATCTTGTTTTGGCGATTTTATGGTAATGGATTCTTCTTGTGATTTTTTTCTTTGTTTAAACTGAAATGTTGTTGATAATTTAACATTCAGAATTTGCTATGATTTTTGTATTTTTCACTTGAATTGATTGTTTTTATTAATTGTGATGGAAAAATAATTGAAACATAAATATACTTTTTCTTTTGATGATCATAATGTTAATGAAAAGATTATTTGAGATAAAAGTGATAAAAATGATGTTGGAGATAAAAAAGATGATAAACTTGGTGATGTTTGAGATAAACGTAAATTTGTATTCTTTGCAAGTTTGATTGTGCCCCCATCAACTGAAAATATCTACGTTCGCCAATGTTCCCAAACCTACCGATGACACTATGTTTAAGAAAGATCAAAAGCTTCTTTCTTTGCTTTTATCTTCCCTTACTGAAGCTGTATTTCCTTATGTCACTGGGATGTCTTTGATAAGTGTGTTTTTGCACACTTATTTAGATTATAAACATGACTTAAATACAAGCAAAATGATTGAATTGTGACTTAATCTCATTGAATTCATGCAATGTAGGTGTTTCTACGGAAATAGTGGAATTCAGGAGAAGAGAGCCGAAAAAGGACTAAAATGGAGCAAAGTGATAGTTCAGGGACTAACGATGCAAATATTCGAAAGTTGAACTAAAAGACAACTCGGGAATGCAAATATGCTAAGTATGAACTCGAAAGCAATACAAGATGATTGGAAGAAGAAGGAATTACAAAGGGACTAAAATGAATTAAACTGAAAGTTCGGGGATCAAGTTGCAAATAATTCATAGATGAGACGGGAAATGGAATGAAGATTCAAGAGTGTTAGAGGTCAATCGGATGAGGAAAGGAGTCACGAGGTAAAATAGGGTCGAAGTATTATCAAGTATCAACTTTCAGGCGAAAAAGCTATGCTCGTGATTTTTAGTATCTACTTGAGATCTATTTTTCGCATAGTAAACATCAAAATTTGAGGAAGTCTATTTCTATCAAAAATGTAGATCTTTGAGTTTTATTCTCAATGCACTTTTAATCACTTCAATTGGAGATCAGAAGAGAAAGTTATGACCAAAATATTAAAAACTGTCCGGCGGAAAGAATGTATGCCTATGCGGTCGCATAGTATAAACTCTATGCGGTCGCATAGAATCCTCCCGAGAACTTTTTCTCAAATTTTGTTTACTCTATGCGATAGCATAGGTTATGCCTATGCGGTCGCATAGGTATAATCTGGGGGCCGTTTTGCAGTTTCTCCCGAGAACTTTTTCTCAAATTTTTTTTACTCTATGCGACAGCATAGGTTATGCCTATGCGGTCGCATAGGTATAATCTGGGGGCCGTTTTGCAGTTTCCTTATACGATTGAAACTCCTTTGATAACCTAATTTCCACGCGATTTAAATACGAAAGAACGTCCAGAAGAAGGGGAGAACGTAATTGGAGGCACAAAAACACAATTTTGGAGGATTTGGAGAGGAAGAACAAGGCAAAAACAAGGCAATCCACTTCAAGATTCAAGATTTCACTTTAAGAATCAATTGGGTGATATTCTTCCTTGGTTTTA